CGGTACGGTCAGTGACCGTTCAGCGCGTAGCCAGCGTTCGACTTGACCAAAGTTTTGAACAGTGATTAAGGGTATCTCCATAGCTAATCAGTGAATACGTAGGAAACTGACTTCTCAAATAAATTATATAAATCTCATCAACTTTCATCAACTTCTATAACTTTTTCTTAATGTGAAAACTCTAACCTCCCAAAGATTCAGTAACTTTAGTGCCTCACATACGCTTATAGAGGTATGTTCATGATTCTCAAAGCATTGATCTTACGAGTCCAGTTTGTTAAAATGATCATTTTATGCAAATCGGGTCTACCAATTGTAGAAAACTGTCGAGCATTGGTTCATGTTTCTGTTCATATAAACCAATGTTATTTGTATGTACGTATGTAACACTGAAATTGTTGTAAAATCAATCAGAGTTTCTCGAAAGTTTAGATAAATAATGTCTAGTATATAAAGAAATTCAATGCTAATTAATATGAGGGTTTTTAGGAAGGAGTCCAAGAAATAATTCATGTGTGTTTTGATGTTCAGATCCAAAATAGACAATATCATATTAATCGGTTTAGGAAGAGTCAAGCATGTGCTTGAAAAAGACCAACAACTAGTATCAAAACCAGGAAAACAAAAATATGCTAGAATACAAGATACGCAAGTTTGATGAGTACACACACTAATGGAAGGGGGAGGGGGGGAGGTACGTGGAAGAGTCCATCAAAAAGATCTTGGGTTGTGGTAAGAGCATTCTAATTGTGACCTCATGATTAAAGATGCCAGAGACTTGTGTAAAAAGACTTTTCACAACAGTGATACAAGTATACACTAGGTGTATAATTTTTAATGGTGCACTAGGATTAGGTTAGCATCACATGTTGCTGCAAAGATTAGGCGAATTAATCCTAATGGTGTAACAAGAGTTAGGTGAAGAATGTCTTTGGTAATTACGGAGATACATGATGGTTCCAGGTTTCAGAGGAGGTTAGAGACCAAAAATTTATGTGGTACTTGGTTTGAGAGGAAGATCATTGTGAAATTTATCAAATTCCTATACTAGAAATTCTAAGTTTTGACAAATAATGTTTAGTATATAAAGAATATCCAATTATATTTAGTATGAGAAATTTTGAAAAGGAGTCAAAGAACAAATCCATGTGAACTTTGCTGATCGGTTTCCAAATGGAAAATATCATATCATACTAATCAGTCTAAGAGGCGTTGGACTTATAGCTTGAAAAATTTCAACAATTGGTATCGGAGTCGGAATGAAAAAATATGCAAAAAGATCAAAATACCATTTAAGTTTGATGAACCTACACATCGATAAGATTGAGAGGTATGTGGCAAAGACTAATCAAAAAAGTTATTGGAAGTTTAGTTGTAAGAGGAGCGTCTTCAAGGTGACCTAGCACTTAAAGTTACCAAAGATTGTGTCCAAAGCCTTTGCTTAACAGTGATACAAAGATTAGGTGGATTATTCTTAATGGTTTTGCAAAGATTAGGAGGTGATGTTCTTATAGTGCATGAAGGATTAGGTGAATAAAAATCATAATGGTGTAACAAATTTAAGGGAAAGAGTCCTTTTGGTGATTATGGTGGTACAAAGTGTGCGCCAGATTTTGTTGGAAGTTAAAAAGTCAGGATTGTGTGATAGTTGGCTTGAGAGGAGAATCGTTGTGAAATCAATCAAAGTCGCACATCGTAAGTTTAGTAAAATAATGTCAAGTATGTACATAATATCCAAATCAGTCCCATGATTAATATATATGATTTTCTGAAATTATTTCTCACAGCAATGACTTAATGTAGGGTTGGTTGTTGGTTGTGTGATGTAACTGATAAAGTTTTAGAATTTGGGGCAAAGATGAAGAACAAAAACATCTACAACTACTTAAAAACGTTTCTGTATGGCGGTTGCTGCTTTTAATAACAACCGAACACTAACAGGTTTTGACTTTTGAAACATGATGATTCCATAGACTTATATATAACTAGTATTATTGCCCCTGCTATGCAGGAGCACATTATATTTGTCAATATATAATGTTAATATGAAATAATTAATAATTTTGAGGTAGACAAACATACATGTTAAAAATATGAATATAAATGTTACTAATTAACTTTAATTTATTATAAAATATTTTAGTAGGTATGAATGGTTAATTTTCTCTGTTTTTTTAGGTAGAAATCTTTAAGAAACATATATGTTAACTTTATAGCAATTAAATCTATTAATTTTTTTTATAGAAATTAAATCTATTAATATTATTTGCTCAATTAAGCACATTAACCAAAAAAAATACAATAAAATCAACGAACATTACATAAGGTTAAAAAGAAAGAGAAAACTCGCATGCACACAATTTTTATTACTTTTTTTTTGCAGCTTCAATTTTTATTACTTTTGGTTTTCATTGTTTACTGGATTTGTTCTTGCCAACCTTATGAAATCTTTAATAAACATCAATGTTCCAATAAATAGCTAAGTGATTAGAAAAGTAACAACTCATCGAGTTGGTAAAAGACGCCATTGACGCTCGTGAACTCCGGGTGTCTAAATGCTGTTAGTGCTTCCAAGTCGGCTTTAATTCGTAATTTTTTCAAGCTTTAGATGACTCTTATGCTGTGTTGATCTCACTGAAAATTTTATTTGCATATAAATGTCAAACAATTTTGCCCTTTTTCAAAAAAAAATGGCAAACAATTCATACACTTAAAATTGTTTTTTTTTTTTGCTGACAATAAAGCTTTGCAATGAACTGTGAATAGAAACTGATAAAAACTAAGCACGAAAACGCTCACCCATCCACATGTTCTCCTCGTCGCCCCATCTGTCAATGATATGGCGTAAACGATATATAAAATCTCAACTCAATTCCAAAAACATTAAAATTATCATTGGGGGATGAAATAAATGTGAAAACTAACTCACTCTTCTTTTCTTTTCTGGCTTCGTGTTCCACTGTCTTCAAACTCATGTTTGCTCTCTGATCAATGGAGTTTTTGACTGGTTATTCTCGATTATTGTGGACCATTTTATGATTAGAAGAACCAAATAATAAATTGTGGAAGGGGTAGGTATGTAACCGTCTAGCAGTTTAATTTTTATTAATGATATTTTTTGAGCATGTAAAATAGTTTTTGAAATTTTTTTTTAATTAATATTATAAAAGACAGGTGTCAAGTACATCATTTTCACTTGACTTCTGCTTTATATAATAAAAGATATCTTTGAAGTTGGAGAGATATATGGTCAACACCCATAGTTTTTTGACATCATAAGCTAAAAGATATAGTGAGGTAAGCATCACTGGGTATGACCTTCTGGCAGACAGAGAAGGTCCACAGAAAACACTGCTCCATTTCTGCATCAGGCTCAATGAATCGTAGTGTCTTCGCCATTAAATGTATAGGAAAATATATGAGGTTTTGTAGTTTGAGCATTATCATTGACTCTGAAAAGAAAAATACTAAGTAATCCGCATGTTCATTATGCTTCGGTTGACCAAACCAAATCTAAAGTGTTGATTAAGTTTGATAGATTTCTTGGAGCCTGATTCAAGAATGGTTCAACCTCTACAAAAATTGACCGACCAAATTGATAGTCTTAGGTATTGGTTTATCTTGTTGATGGTAAACTAGTAGCTTTTATGAAGCATTTTAGGTTTGTAAAGGCCGCTTCATATATAGTATAATGATAAATATATGTTTTTTTTTTGACAACGATAAACATATGTTTATATATATTCATATGATAGATAAGATATCTATTGATTAATTATTTCGAAAATGGTGATATGGTGACAAACCATTAGTTAAATCACTAAAATCTACTCTATTAAAATAAAATCATTCTTTTTATCTAATGATACAAGTTGTCATTTAAATTTGAATTTTTTATAGAGTGTTACAAATAATACAAGTCATATAGTTGAATGAACCGAATTACTTAAATTAAATCGGCGGTTATTTATGAGATAGAGTCTTGGACTTACTTTTATTTTTGTGACAAATTATATGATTTGGTTTTTTGGCTTAGTAAAAGTAAAACTCTAAAAAAACATTGAATAAACTTTCCACTTTAATGGATAAAAAAATAAATTATTATTTTCAGGCCCAAAAGTATTTAATATGTTTAACAAAACAAAATTGTCTATTATTAATCACTTTATTTAAATCATGTAATTTAAAACATGTTAATGTATTTTTTGTTTTAAATAACAATAACCCTGTTTGATAAATTTCAGTGGTAACTTTTAAACAGTTTCTTTTTTTATTTCTTAAATAATTTACTGATTTAAAAAAATTAAATGTAAAACAAAACCAAAAACCAAATCTAAAACCAAAAGCTGAAAACGCATATTATATTTTTTTCTTTTCTTTATTTACAAAATAAATTATTACAAATAAAAAAAATTATCATCTTTTCAGTTTTAAATTAGATGTTTGATTATTTGAGATTTTTTTTTTGGTAATATCAGTTCAAACTAACTCAGCAGATCTAAAAACTAAATACCTAAACCAAAAGCTGAAAATCAAAGATAGAAACTTAAAAACTAAAAACCAAAATCTAAAAATAAAAACAGAAACTAAAAACTAATGCAAAACAATCATCACCACAAATTTTGGATTACTGATTTTATACCAAAACATATTTTAAATAAAGACAAACCTCAATTATATAAATTTTCAACCATAAATAACTAGTGAGCTTAAAATATAACTGAACTTAAAAATTATGCCGAACTTAACAAATCAACAAAATTACATATGTAAACAATTGTCTAGATAGATACACAGTATTGTTCAAAATTTTACAATCCAAAATTCATATACAAACCTTTTGTATTTGAAGTGGATAAAAGGATCTGGATGTGTTGTTGATTGATACTTGATAGTGTTACCTAATTGGGCTTAGGCCTAGTAATGTAGATAGTTTTTCATGGGCCACCCCGAAACTAGGGACGTCATCATCTCTTGCGGAAACCATTTGCAAGGCGATCATGGCCGTAGCCGCCCTCTTTCACGCCAGGTTTCCCCTTATCGCCCGTCGAACATCCCCGTCTTCTGTTAGTTACTACTGTCCCCGGACTCTTGAATTCAGCCACCGACTACAATCGATTATCTGTTTTTCATCGTCCGACGGCGACGATATCGTTGTTTCAGAGGGTCCCAATTACGTGAAGTATAGCGACGAAGATTTGATGAAGCAATGCAAATTCGAGACCTTTAGAGTTTCAGGTCCCGGAGGACAACACCGGAACAAGCGTGACTCCGCCGTTCGTCTTAAACACCTCCCCACCGGAATCGTAGCTCAGGCCGTCGAGGACCGTTCCCAGCACAAGAACCGAGCTTCTGCTCTTAACCGCCTTCGCACGCTCCTCGCTATCAAAGGTCTTTTCACTTCAAATCCCTTCTCCTTCTTTATCTTTTAACCTGAAAATTCTCAACATTGCTCTAGTGAGGAACAAGGTGGACATTGAAGCCTATTCTCCTCCTCCCGAGCTTCTTCAGATTCTACCTCCCAAGTCCACCATTAGAACTTCCTCTTCTGGTTCACAGATTGGTCCCAACAATCCTAAATTTGTTCCTGTATGACTCTCTTTCTCCTCGCTTTTAGCTCTTGACCTTTTTATCTCACAACTACTCGTTTTTTTTCCAGGGAATGCAAGCTTTGCTTGATGTTATTTCTGCTTCTGACGGTTCCATTGCCGATTCTGCCAAGTTGCTCGGGTGACTTATCCTTCTTGGACCTCTTCTTCACTCTATATTGTCTTTTGATTCATGTTACTATTTCATGTTTCAGTTTGAGCACTGGCGCCTTGTCTCGTTTGATACTCTCACATGATGGTCTTCGCATGGCAGTCAATAGCATGAGGGCTGCCAAGGTACTCTTTCTTCTGATTCCAATTTGTATACTTTTTTGATTCTTTATCTTTATAAGCTCCTTCGTTTTAACTTCTTTAGATTTATTGTATCTTGGAATGATATCAATGTGAAGCTATGTCCTGTCTCCTGGAAATAAGCCTGTGCGTTCATGTTGCATGAAATGAATGCTTTTGTATTAGCATTTAATTAGATTGGTATATCATCACACTATTATTTGAATATTTCAACAAGCTAACTAGTTTGTAAGTGGCGAGCCTATTTTTTTCTGCGATTTCAGGGAATGAAGCCTCTCAAGTAGTTGGGATGTATAGATAGACATTTGAAGAATGATGATGGGTGGGACCTTTGGCGTGTTGTATTTGGGTATTAAATACTGCAGCACATCTTCTACCATTTTATGCAACTTTTTTTGTATACAAAACAAAAGTGAAATGTTGAGTTCAGTCTAGCATTTGTTCTTCTATCATGTAACGTCTTTTGAGATGATATAATATATACGCTGTTTTAGTGACAAAAAAAAAAAAAAAAATACATACGCTGTTTAAATACTTATGGTAATTTTTCGTTCCCTTTTGTTGAGATTGTGTTGGAACTTTGGAGCTAATACAGTTGGATTAGATTTCTTCCTATTCTGTTTGTTTTTTGTTTTCTCTCCATTTAATGAAATCAATCTCCTTGGTGGTGTCATTAGTGGATTCGGAAGTGGTAGTCTTCTATTCTCTTGCACGATATATTGCAAGCACACTTGCTGTGATGTTATATCTCCCCTTTGGAAGATATGATTCTCATATACCAATGTAGATATAGCTCCCGTTTTTTTTTTTTTTTTTTCACTGATGTTAGCTACAGTGAGTGCACTTATTACACGCTAAATATCTTGGTCAGTGGAGCAAATGAAGAAAAACCGGTCACTGCCTGAAGGGAATGTTCTCAGGTATATTGGACATTTGAAAAATAGCAAAAGAGTGAGAATCAGATTCTTGCAGAATGAGGTTCTCTTCTTACCCACACAGCAAAAAAAGAAAAAAAAAAAATCACTTTTATGGAGTTGACCTTGAGAAAAAAGTTTGTTTATTCATTTATATCCGGAAAAGGCGCCCCCAAGAGTTGAGAGTCTGGTGGGTGCATTCTGACTCACTCCTTGTATATTTTACACATGAATCTGAACTCTGAAGGTATGCTCTGAGATTGCGAGATTCCTTGACTTCTCATGGAGTGAACAGCGAGTATTCACCTTCCCTTTTATCTCTGGTATGAAGAATATTTAAGATTCTAACAAGTTGATTAGTATATGCAAATTTCTACGATTCGTATAGTGAAATGATCAGCTTTTGGTGAAATGAACTCATGTTGATGCCATAGTCACTCTGCTCTGTATAGGAAAAGCAGAGATGGTTTGTGGGTGTTCTATTTTAGTCATAAAGTTCTTACAGCATCTCTCTAAAGCGACGTTTGACTTTCATTAGGCCGAGGCTCTGTTTAATACTATTTGAAAGGATAATTCCAATTCCAATTCCTTACTTTAAGTTGATAGAAAAGATATGATTCCTCACCACCATTTGTTGGGAGGGGGGGGGGGGTTTCTGTTCTTTTATTGGCAACTTTCTCCTCTTGGCTTCATGTATAATTGTATAACCATGTATATATACACTCCATTACAGAAACAGTTCTTATAAGACTTCCAAAATCCAATAGTGTTATTTAGTCTGTATATATCAATGAGGCTTCATTTATCTGCCAAGTTTAGGCAAGTTCTTGGTCAGGCCAAGGATCAAGCATCTATTGGCAGAGCTATTGTACAAAAGTACAATGAGAAAGCTTTTTTTGACATTGAAGTTGCAGTGGTTCGAGCTACAAGCCATGATGATTGTCCTGTGGATGACAAAACCATGCACGAGATACTCTTCCTTGTCTCTAACACACCGGGGGCAGTTCCTTTTCTTTCTGAACAGATCTCACGCCGTCTAGCTAAGACAAGAGATTACTTGGTCGCCGGTAAAACTCTTTTACTCATCCACCGTCTCTTGCGTAGTAGCAGCCGCTGCATCGAGCAGCAGTTGCATATCGCATACACCTCTGGCCATCTCCAAATAGGTTGCTGCTGGTTTATGATGAGCCAGGATTATCCATCCTTTTCTTTTCTGCAGAACTATGTAGCTTATCTCGAAGAAAGAGTTGGATGGATCATCAACCAAGCTGGCAAGCTCGAACCTGTAATGTCTGGCGGTACAAAGTGTAGTCGTTACAAAGAGAAATCCATGGATCTTGTGTTCCATATCTTACCAAAGTGCCAGGAATTCATTGCAAAGGTGTTGAAGTGTTCACCGGTTGATGCATGGCCTATGGATAACCTGGTCCAAGCAGCTACAGGCAGCATCTTGAAAGAGAGTTTCCAAGTCTACATGACGTACTCTGATGGCGTAGGCGCACTGATTAACATGCTATTTGATCTTTCAAGACCCGCAAGAGAGTTAGCTTCCGGGATGTTGAGAAAGGCTTCTCAACAAATTGAAGATCTCCGTGTCCTGTATGAAATGTGTAGAGGATTCACCGGAATGAAGAGCTTGGATTACCCAACTGTGCAAGCTATTACCATGGATCATATAGTAGCACTAGAGGAATGTTCAAGCTATAATACTGATGCAGGTAGTGTGTTGAAGAGCAGTGGCGGTGAAAGAGTTTTCTCTGTCTCCACCAACTTAAGAGATTCAGTCACTTGCAATGAAAAAATTGCATCTACCAGTCTTTTCTTGTTACCAGTGGAGACCAAAATAAGCATGGTCTGGGTTGTTTTTGACAATGAAGAATCCGACAAGCCAACATAGAGCATATGAGTGTTGATTATTCATCTCCAGAAGATATATATATATATATATATATATATAAGAAAGTTGTGGAATGCAGATGTAGAGGTTTGGTTTATGCACATAGATGCTTAGGCAGAATTGTGTCTCTAATTCATGTTACACAGTATTATTGTTGTCAATTTACATATTTTATATGATGATTTAATGCGTATTTTTTAGCTTAACAATTTTGAAGAAATGAATCAATTTGCAATTGTTGACATATGAAATGATAGCAAATTGCAGAAAAATAAACGATTGATAGAGATTATGATTCTGATTATGAAGAGCTTTTAGGTCAAAAGTAGTTACGAATTATCAGTGTCATCCCATATATTTTACTACTTGTCGCAACGAGTTGTGTCGCAGATTTTGACAACATTTTGCAACTACACAAAACCAAATCGTAACCAAGCGTAATCTCTTTTCTGATTTTATTACTTTATGTGTATTATATATTTGTAACCAAAAATACTTTTTTCTCCTGAATCCCTAAATCAACTCTATGAAATCTCTTAGAACGCTAATGCTATTTTTTCTGTTTTTTTTTTATCCAGAACATAAACTTGGAAAGAGAATCACACCTCTCAGAAGCTTGCATAAATCATCCTTTCTGTTTCCAGAATCTCACTATCCTGATCCAATTTATCAAAATATTTTGCTGTGGGGGCTCACAGTCAATCTCCAACAAGCTCACACCAGAATCTACAGCCATGACAAGCTCACACCAGAATCTTGTGGGGGCTCACAGTCAATCTCCTTCTTCACCGTCGAAATCACTGTATCGCAGCCCCCTTTGATTGCAGATGAAAGCTCGGTTGAAGAACAACTATGTCTCACCATTTATTTAATTCTCCCCCAACCCCCCCCCCCCTGATTCTCTCTTTTTCTCTGTTGGATTGGTCTTATTTTACTCAAGTTTGTCTTTCGTACTTGATAATTGGATCCATGTCTATGGATACTTGTTGTTCATAAAACGATTATTCTTTGAAAGTTGATTTTTTTACACATGGTTTTTCTCTAATGCTGCTATGTTTGTTCTTTTCAGTTACAAGAAGGAGGATCTAAATCCAAGCATCTCTGCTCTAGAACAACTCAAGAACTCTACAGCTGACATCGGCATCCATATACCCACTGACCACTATAGCTAGACCACAATAGTCTCGACCACAACACGAGAGTCCCATTCACAACACACCCGACCACCACAAGAATCGCATTAACCATGAGAGTCCCATCCACAACACACATGAGAACCCCAATCCAACCACTAACCCTGGGAGTTTCATCCTCAGCTCTCATGTATCTTCCCGGAAACTGCAAAATCATGTTATCTTGTCCACCAACTGCAAAATCATGTTATCATGGATATGTGGTGATGGTGGATTGTTAATGATATTATGTTGTGTTTTTTGGATTCATGTGTATATCTAATTGTTGTGGTCGTCTACATATAGCTATGGATGGATAACGATGTCGGTTTTTGATCATGTGTATATAGCTAATAGTTGTGGTCGTGGACAAGTAGTGTGGGATGGTTAATAAGATTAATAAAGATATATCCACGCTTTACAGAGATGTAAGTTTCTAAGCCCTTAGATCTTATAACTAAAAGCCAACCTAATGGCCTAAACACAATCCCAAAAATACATATTACCTACCTTTCAATTCGAAACTTTTTCATTTATTGCAACAAGAAAAGACTCTGGTTCCTTGCATCTTTAAAAGCAACATTCTCTCACTTACACAAGTGAAGAGATATTTTGGTCCAGAATAATACAGCTGTCATAATATTGTGTCCAAATCCACAATGTGTCTTCTACATCAAACAAAACTCAAAAAATGTCATTTTGTGTAACCTTCTCAAAACAATTGGATGGTGATGTGGTAAAATTATCATCTTTCACGACTTTTTAAACAAGCAAGTTTAAACAATTATTTCCATGACTGCGAGGAATTAACTGCTCAATATCAATAACACCAGAGATTTATATTTCATATTTACAATTTGTAAACCAGCAAACGATACAACTAGCTCCCATTATTACAACTAGATCTTCAACAGTTCCCAACTCATGTGCAATGGTCTTAGATTTACATTAGCTCTTGTATCACAAAGAGAGTAATTTTTTTTTCCACATATTTGATTGTCAAAGAAACATAAATGTTGAGGTCAAAATCAGTTATGACAAAATCAACGACTAAAATCTTCTGAAAATTGTGCTTTAAGCAAATATAAGCTGAAAATGTCAGAGAAACTATATAGCATAATCCAGACCTATTTGCGTAAGGATATAAGAACAAACTTCATATATTTCATCCCGTATAAGGAATAAAAGATTTTTTATCCAAAGATGAAATGATTGGAAAAATGTTCTTATGGAAGGTATTTGCGACAAATGATGACTTTTATGACACAGTCTTTTTCGAAACCTTTATTCTCTAAAATAGGAATAAAAATGCGGTAGAACTGAAAATTTGTAAAACGTATTATACGACAAGTTCCTCGGAAAAGAAAAAGATTCCTGAGCGACAAAACAGTCAAACCTGCCTTGTCCAACTCGCCATCAGGCGAGTTTGACCAGCTTGTCCAACTCGCCTGATGGCGAGTTTGATCATCATCGTCCAACTCGTCTGTTGGCGAGTTGGGCCCAACTCACCAACAGGCGAGTTGGGTCAGCTCGTACAACTCGCCTGATAGTGAGTTGGATTGCCTTTGTCCAGCTCGCCATCAGGCGAGTTAGATCAGCTTCGTACAACTCTCCCTTAAGCGACCAGCTTCTTTTTTGGGCCTTGATAGAACTGTCCCTTGTTTTGTTTCGATTGGAGTTACCACTGAAACTTTAAGATAAAATTAACGAAGACTTATTTTCTATGAATTCAAATCAATCGTATAAAATGGTAACAATTAACTTAAACATCTTGGTTATCCCGACTAGGCAATTGGTTTTCATTACTTCATAAAACTGACTTCGTACAAAAGACGATTTCTCCAAAAATGTTTAAGTCGAAACACAGTCTGAAATGGTTTAAAACGCGGCAAAGGTCAACTTGCGATTATGGATGATAGTGAGCCCAAAACTATTATAAAGATTTATCAAATATTTGCGAAAGAAGATAAATGTTAAGTTTCGAAGGATAATCATGAAAATCAGAAAAATAAAATATTTATGCAAGGTGATAAACTCAATCTGAGGCATTAAAGAAAAGCGCAAACTGAACTAGGAGGAGTATATAAGGGATGCCAAGATGAGAGATGGATGGAGAACTTTTTACACAGAAAACTTAACACTTAGGAACCTTAGGTATTATTCTTGACATGTTTGCTTTTTTATGTCTTAAACTCCATTACTAGACGAATTTGCAAAGGAAGTTCAATCTCTTATTCACACTCGTTAATTAAAATATGTTCGGCTTGATCCTAGAAAGGGGTTCGTAGGCAGCCTTTCGCAAGGTCCAGTCCAAAATCAACAAAACCTTTTTGAGTCTTTTTCGTCTTATGTTATCGAACTACGATTCAAGTAGGTTTAAGGTTTTAGGTGACTAGAACTAGGTAACTCGCCGAAAGATCTTGCGGCGAAAGCTTTTATAATCTTTTGTAATGATCGCAACACACTTACACATATTCAAAAAAAATATCTACTTTTTCTATAAATTTGTTTTGTTATCTTTTCATGTTTCCTCCATTTATTCGACTACTAGTCATTGGTTGTCACAGAGAATCCGGACCTCATAGAATGTAGAGTTTTCTTTGCTTTTCTCCGTTCACTAAAATCGATGGTGCAAATTTCGGTTCTACAATAAACTTCACCGACTTATGGTTCCCACACTATTTTTTTCTTTCTTAATAATAAAATAAAATTTGATTTTAGTTAAGTTAACGATAAAAGAAAGAACAAAAGTGTCCCACCCAATTACAAGTAAATGTGTTCCAGCTAATCAAAATAAAAGAAATTCATTTACATATAAAATTAATGTACTCCAGCCCAACTAAAATTAAGACAATGTTACATATATAACTCAATCCATAGTATACAATAACTTAAGTATTTGGAAAAATTGCCAAATATGACTCACAATTTGATTTCAAATGCAATAGTAAACCCAAACTTGAATCAAATACAAATTTAACCTAAAAGGCTATTGAAATTACAACAAGCCTCTTGTGAACAAACAAAAAACTTGATTTTTTTACATTCTTACTTCTGCAAGTATTCTGTCCAGACGTTTTTCAAATAAGTCGTCTGGACGACTTACTTGAAAGTTGTCTAGTATAGTTCTTCCTAAAAATAATTTAAAATTTTTGTAAAAAATATTTTGATAAGTGAAAAATGGAAATCATGTAATTAACATATGTTTTAAGAAATATAAATTAAGATATAACAAAATTTAATTGTTTTCAACATAGATGAGTGAAAGTAGTGAGTCATGATATTATTTTGTTTAGGTTTTGCCAACATATGTTGTAGTTGTATGTGTTCTTTTATATTTTTGAAAGCATAATTGTTTTTTTGAAAAATTTTATTTTAAAAATTACCTAAGTGTGTTTATTTTTGTGTATAGTAAACATTATTTAAGTATAATTTTATTTTATAACGTGGTTAGTTAGTTAATTTAGTCAATTTAGTTTAGGATTTAGGGTTTAGGGTCTAGACGACTTACTATTACGTCATCTGGTGAATATATTTACGGTAGACTGATGTATAGTATTTAACAGACGACTTACTAGTAAGTCGTCCAAACCGGACCGAACCTTTAATTTTACTAATGTACTTTTAAACCTAACCATATTATTTTGCCGGACATATATAAGATGCTTTCTTATTCATTTTTTTGCGAAATTTCAAAAACCCTAACGCCCTTTCTCTTTCGAATGCGATTTCCGTCGATTCTCTCTAATCCATCGATCTCACCGCCGGTTTTTTCTCCGCCGTTATAACCGTAGTTCTCACCACCGTTCTCGCCGCCGCGTCCTCTATTTCAGATCTGAGAGGAAACCCTTGTGCCGTTT